CTCCTCTGGGGGCAGTACTGACCGCATCAGGAATACTGACCAAAGCCAACCTTCCTTGTTTCTCCAATGAGGAAGCAGGCCCAAGAAGGCTGGTCGACTGTATATTTTGCTCCTCCTCTTGTCACCAAGCTCCGTGAGGACAAGCAGGGCCTGGGGTTCTGCTCTCATAGCTGCACACAGCCACCAGCACAGATGAGCGCACACAGCTGTGGCCCTAGAAAGGCCCCTTGTCTGTATTCCCTCAGGACTGAATTCTCCTTTTTACCCAGGAAACAGTGGCCTTCCATTACGCATCTGTAGAAGCACAAGCAATAGATCCCCAGCGCTCACTTGGACTGAGTTTCTGACACCTCTGTTTTGAAAATTTTGCCCCTGTGCGGAAGACCAGTGTCTGAATGAAGAGCAACCGTCTTCCTCCCACTCCCTCTGCCAGGAGGCTGCTGTGGTTAGCCTCCTGCTCAGAGAAAGAATAAATAAAAGCAACACCCCTTGTTGCTCTATGATAACTACAGAGATGCTAGATGCTTTGGCACGCAAACTGAGGGGAGAAGAAAAATAAATGGCAGCAATAAAAAGCCAGGAAAGGAGCTTCCCTATCACAAGAAGCCCCAGCAGGCAGATCCTGCTGCTGACATGTGACTTAAAGGTCAGATTCAGGGGCGCCCGGGTGGCTCAGTCGGTTGAGCGGCTGACTCCTGGTTTTAGTTCAGGTTGTGATCTCGGGGTCGCGAGACTGAGCCCCACATTGGGCTCCACACTCAGCGTGGAGTCCTGAGATTCTCTCTCTCCCTCTCGCTCTGCCCGTCCCCCTGCTCATGCACTCTCTATAAATAAATAAAATCTTTAAAAATAAATAAATAAATAAATAAATAAACAAATAAATAAATAAATAAATGTCAGATTCAATGACCTATGAACTACACCCTCCTGGCCCATCCCCCCCTCTGAAACTGCTACCCCTCCCCCCACACCAGCTGCTAGCAGAATGGCCAAGAACAGAGAAAAGCAGAGATGGGAGCAGCAAGGGGGAGAGGAGGCTTCCTTCAGCCCACCTTTCCACCACGACAGAGGCCAAGTCTCCAAGGAGCCTCCAGCCTGCAGAGCTGCAGCCGCCGCCAGCTTCAGCCTGGGCTATGGGCAGAAGGATGGCTCAATATCGTAGCCCACAGTCTCCACTTCCGGGCCTTCACTTCCTCCCTTCTTTGAGCAATGGTAAAGACCCAAGACAAACTGGAAACCACCCACCCTGTCACTCCGCTGCAGTGAGTCCGTTTCTTTTATCACATGGAGGCCCCAGCCCGACACATGACGCCATTCCCACACCACACTGACCAGGTGGCACCGCAGCCTCCGTGGACACGGCCTGACTAGGCTCCAAGGGCCAGGGTGTGGCTTGCCCCCCTTTCCTCTCACATCTGGCACACTGCCTCACCTTCAGAAGCTGTTCTGCAAGTGTCTGGGGACCGGAAGAGTAAAGGGGGCAATGGGGCCGATGACAGTGTGACAGACCGTAAAGGATGAGCCCTCACCTTTGTTAGGAGAACAAAAATGCATTCTCGTCACAAGTCTTCTTCGGGGCATGTCACCAACTCGCCCATTTCCAGAGCCTGCTCTCTTATCTGGGTCATGACCTGACGGCAAGCTTAAAACGTGAGAGATGTAACTGTAAATCACACCATTTTCTTTTAAGATCCGGAGGCAGCATAAAAGATTAGCTAAAGCATCAGGTTCTAGAGCCAGAAATTCCTGCGTTCAGATAATCGTTCTACAGAGCACGAGTTACAAATCTTGGTCAAGCGACTTCACTCTGATCTATAAAATGCAAATAGGAATACCACATCCTCATGCGGTTCTGGTGAAAGAGTGCATGCAACAGAACAATCCTTCTGACCGTCAAAGTTCATCTTTATCTCGGGTCTCCAAGCAGCTACTCAGTCTGTGCTAAAACAACCAGCGAGCAGGGTTCCTCCCTTTCTACTCTGAGGCAAAAAGGCACGGACATAACAAGACGGCGCTGCACACCCGTGTCCGGACAAGTAACACAGGTGAGCCAACCCATCAGGTGCGAACGAAGGAGAATCACACCCACACAGACATCTGCCCTCGCCTTTTCTTCTTGAAAAACACCCCCCTTGGCTTTCATTTGTCAGTTTGAAGAGACATGAGTCCCTGAGTTCTCTTCTTTCTTCTTTAGCTACCGTAGGAAGTACTGCACAGTGGTGTCGCTCTGTGGCAGTCAACACTCCGACTTAATAGAAGACAGAACGGGGGTAAGGGCAGGGAAACGTCAGATGGGAACAGGCCAGTCCCAACGTCAGGGATCCTTAGAGACAGCAGCTACTCAGTCCAAACCCAGGGTTATTAGAACCCACTGTTTCCAGTCCTTTTGATAATTTAAAGGTAGTATAGAATTTTTAAATGTTATACACATTTAGTCACGAGGCAGAATGGCAAGCTTACTCACTGCACCATTACTTGTAATAAACGCCAAATGACTGAAAACAGTGACCTGTGCCCATCGGTAGGGGATTGGTTGAATCAATTAGGGTACATCCCCACAATGGCTCACTATGCCTCTGTCAAAAAAAAATCAGAAAATTCTCATCATATCACAGGAAACAAGCACCAAGATAAATTAAGTGGAAAAAAAAAAACAAGGTTTAAAAAAGTGTGTATAGTAAGAAAAGACAGGATAGAGGTATCAAGTATATTTGTACCGACTTGTACTTGCAAAATGAAACTCTAGAAGGATGTATAAAACTAATCAAGCTGATTATTGTCCCAGGAGGGGGCAGGGCAGGCAAACAGAGGCCAAGATAAGATTTCAGTAGATAACTTCCTAGAACTATGTAAACATATTGCCTATTCAGAAAATGATATAAAAATATCGTGTTAAAAAAAATACACCAGCCACTGTGAACAATGCACATTTTCAGGCTACAAATGGAATGGCCTGAAGGCCCCTGGGTTATAACTTCTGTACTAACGGGTCCTAAACTGGGGAAGCAGCAAAACTGGCAGCAAAGGGAATGAGTTCTCCTAGGTTTGGAAACAAGCAGGTTGTTGAGTGTCTGTTATCTGGGACTCCCTGTGAATTGCCTGGCAATGAGCTGGTTGGGTCCCAAAGCTCCGCCTCCCCCAGGGAAAGGGGACACAACTTCCCACAGGATGAGGTGGGGCTCCCCCACTTTCCTTGAAAATTAAGGCTGCCTGGAACCCAAGTGGTCTGGTTTTTCCCCTCCGTTGGGACCTCTCCCCAACTTGTCCTATAAAACGGGAGAGTTATAGGAATATGGAGGTCCTCCCCCAGAGCACAGTATCCCGGTGTGTCCAGCCAGGCCCCAGCTCACACAAACTTCCCCGGAGAATGCCAGAGGACGGAGAAGAGGGGGCACATGCTTCTCAGCACCAAGGGACACTCAATATTCACGCCTTCCCTATGTGCTCGTCTTGCCACCCTGGATGAGCTTACACTTAGTGTTCTGGGTTGAATGGCAATCTCCAGTAAAGACCTGTTGAAGTCCTCACCTGCAGTGCATCAAATGGGAGCTCATTTGGAAAAAAGGTCATTGCAGATGTCACTAGCTAAGATGAGGTCATCCTGGGGTGTGGTGGGCCCCTAGTCCAATAAGAAGGCAGTCTTGTCGGGGCACCTGGCTGGCTCGGTGGTTAAGCGTCTGCCTTCGGCTCAGTTCACGATCCCAGGGTCCTGGGATCGAGCCCTGCATCAGGCTCCCTGCTCAGCAGGGAACCTGCTTCTCCCTCTCCCTCTGCCTGCCACTACCCCTGCTTGTGCTCTCAATCTCTCTCTCCCTACCAAATGAATGAATAAAATCTTAAAAAGACAGCTGTATGAAGATAAAGATACAGAGGGAGAAAGCCATGTGACAATGAAGGCAGAGTGTGGATTATGTGGCCACAAGCCACAAAATGCTGAAGATGGTTGACAAACCCCCAGAAGCTGGGAAGAGGCAAGGAAGGATTCCCCTATAGACTGGAGAGGGAGCATGGCCCTGCCAACGCCTGGACTCTGGACTTCAATCCTCCAGAATGGAGAGATGATTAATTTCTGCTGTTTTAAATCACCCCGTTTGTGGCACTTTGTTACAGCTGCCGTAGGAAATGAATGCGCTCTGGCCAGCTCACGTGGCAGGGGTAGCTGGCGCTGTCCCATCTCAGGAGGTGCTCGGAAGGCACTGATGGCATCTCTGTCCCAACGGATGAAAACTCTGGGACCTGGGCTGATTGAGTTTTATTGTATAGGTGTGCAGTAAAAACTCAGTCCATCAATCATTACCAAGTACTGACCTTGTGAAGAACATAGGAGAATTCAATGTCCCATGACTGCCCTGGGGAGTTGGACAATGTGATTGAAGATTTAAGACAGACACAAGAAATATAATACATGTGTACATACACACATACACATTATATACATATATAATACATGTGATACAGTACATTTCATAGTGGCCAAGGAAGCATGACCTCACCCCTCAGTGGATGCCACAGATGTCACTCCTAACTAAATCCCACTGAACTGCCAACTGGCCTCAATCTTCTACTGTATTTCATTTTAGCTGCTCCTGTTAGGTGTGTTTGGAAGACCTGGGAAAGTGTCAGGATGTCAGGCTAGTAGTCAATTTCTAGAAGCTGTCACCACACTCCCAGCTGAGCCCAGACTCATTGCTCAGTGCAGATACCCACTGCTGTCCACAATCGTTACCTGCTACCTCTGGTCAAGACTCTCCCATCAGTTTCTTACCAGCTCCTTTCACCTGTTCAGAGCCTATTCCACAGTTCTCCACAAACCTGACATGCAGGAAACTCAAAATCCAGGTAGGTTGGTAGGTCAGACTACAAGAGTTTTTAAGAGGGGCTCCAGAAAATCAGAGACCCCCTAGCAGAGATACTGCATCATCATTCAGAATGTTTGCTTATTTAGCCTGGCCTTCTCGCAAGTTCCCACCACACCTGCTCAAGGAACCTCTGGTTCTTACCATAAGCAAGTCCCGTGGCCCCTTACACACGTGGGGTCGGGGAGGCAGCACACCGGGCCTGAACGCTCCTGGAGCTCTCTCTGAAGGCCAGGCCTCCGGGTCGAGCAGCTGCTCCGGGAGGAAGAGACGTGCTCGTGCTGAGTGCCAGGTGGACACCCAGGCAGGGCTCATGAGGAAAAGCCGAGAGTCGCTCCCGCTCCACCCTTGACCAGCAGCCCAATGACGTGACTTTGGCTCCAGGCCAGTCTCCTGAGAGGCAGCTGTGGTCAGGGCATGACCTGCAGATGGAACAGACAGAGGAAAAGTCTCTTCACTTTGACTTCAAATAATTCATTACAGATACTCAGAGTAGAAAAGGCCTTTGAAGTCACTTAATTTGTATCCTGTTGCTTTTCAAATAAATTTCCAGCTGGGATTTGGGTCTGGTTTTGAAGCAGACACTGTGCTTAAGCAACATCCATTTCTCCCTTGCTCCTTTCCAACAGAACTCCAGTGGTGTTATCATTCAGGGTAGGTGACCGTATGCCCAGCCCAGGGGCCCTATGCCGTCCGAGCAAATGCAGGCCCCTTGCCTGTGAGCAAGTTAGGGGTGGGCTTCTCACTTCTGGTCATTGAGAGGGGCCTCCTGGGGATGTTCCTGGAAATGTTTTTTTGGCTCTGAAAAAGAGAGATGCAGGAACTTATTCCTCTGCTGGATGTTGTCTTTGTCCAGGCACGTTATGACCATGATGGGGAAGCATAAGAACAGAGAAATAAAGAACCCAGGTCCTTGATGACATCACTGAACCACTGGGTTAAATAGCCCTAGTGCTCCCCTTCCTCCAGACTTCTCACCATACAAGTAATACATATCCTTGTTGTCTACGTTCACTGAGTTGAGTTTTGGGGTTTTGTTTTGACTGCCTACAGCTAAGATGATCCTAAGTGATGTGCCTTCAGATGTTCCTAAAACCACAGGTCCATATTCCTGAAGCATAATCTCACGATCCTGACTACAACTTCCCAAACTTCCACATCAGATGTTTCTCCCCACCTTTTCTTGGTGTTCAGTCCTCTCCCCAGACTTAACCCGTGTAACTGCCTTGTCAATACAGTATTCAATTCTACAGTACATGCCAATTTGGTCACTGAATCGTTAAACATGTTTGAGTCCCTATGAGGTACCAGACAGGGACGCACAAATGAAGCCCTGGAGAGTGCATGGTGGGCGAGACCCACTCCTGGCCAGGAGGTAGGTGAGCCCCACGAGGCAAGTGCCTCGGTGGGAGGTGCACCCCGGCCTGGGTGTGCATCAGGGATGTGGGGGTGGGGAGTGCTTGCAAAAGCACTTTGGAAAACAAACTCATTCTCAAGGGAAGAGCAGAAGATTGTCAGCAGAAAAGAGTGAGAAAGGCAGACCTTCACAACCAAGGATATGAATAATGATCAAAATCATCATAAACAATGGTGGTGGCTAGCATTTCCTGAACGCTTATAACGAACCAGGCACCGTTTTTAGGGCTCTCTGAGGATTAACTCATTCAGGCCTCCACCAAAGCTGATGAGGTAGCTCATACTGTTTACCTCATCTTATGGAAAACTAAACTGAGGCATGGAGTGGGTAAGTGATACAGGAAGTGAGTGGCAGAGGCAGGATTTGATCCCAGGCAGCAGGGCTCCCTGGGCTCACACTCTTGACCCGTCTACACCAGTGATTCTCACAATGGTCACCAGAACAACAGCACCAGCAGCCCCTGGGAACCTGTGACAAATTCGATCTTGAGCCTCATTTCAGACATACGGAGCATGTGGTGTTTTAACAAGCCTTCCATGTGATTCTGGAAGCCCCATAATGTTTGAGAACCCCTGCTCGACACCATACACACATGATGAGAAAGGATGGCATATTCAGAGGAAGGTGAATGGTGGGAAGAGAAGCAAAGCCAGCAAGAAAGATGGGGTGGGGGGAAGAACCTTTCATATCAGCTTAAGGAGCACGGGCTTCACTGTACAGGCATTTTGGAGAAAGGCGGGAGGTGAGGCAGGGAACCAGCATGATCAAGCTTTGTCCTGTGGGACAAGATCTCTGGCACTGGTGCTAGGAATGGACTGGAGGAGAAGAGGCCAGAAGGAGGGAGCCCAGCTAAGAGGTGATACGAGCAAGGGCAGAAGCTACACTAAGTGGTGGCAGTGCAGAAGGAAGAGGAACAAGGGAGGCAAGAGACAGGTTGTGATAAGAGCTGGACATGAGATGCAGAGATGGCAGACGTACCCGGGATGCCTCTGTGGCTTCTAGCCTCAGAAACTAGGTTGGTGGTGAAACTATTTAGCCAGATGGGAAATGCTGGAGGAGGAAAAGTTGGGCAGGGAATATTAAAAAGGTCCATTTGTGAAATATGAAGACTGAGGTGTCTGTGGGACATCAGGATGAAGGTATTTCAAAATGCAACGCTAAAGAAGGATCTGGTACTCAGGGGCAGGGTCCGGGCTGGACATACGGGTTTGGGGTTCACCAGCATAAATGTGATGCTTGAAGCCAAGATGAAGTGAAGGCCGATCACAGATTGTGTAGGAAGGAAAAGAGTGAAAGAGTGAAGGCTGGATTCATGCAGGACACTAACTCCTTTTTTTTTTTTAAGAGAGGGAGAGGACGCACATGCATGTGTGTAGACTGGCGGGGGGGGGAGGGGGGGGGGGCAGAGAGAGAGGGAGAGAGAGAATCTTAAGCAGACTCCACACCCATGCAGAGCCCAATGTGGGGCTCAATTCCACGACCCCCAGATCACGACCTGAGCCGAAATCAAGAGTTGGACGCTTAACCAACTGAGCCACCCGGGCGCCCCAACACTAACATTTAAGGGACACCCAGAGCGAGAGAGCAAAGGAGACTCAGAAGCAGAGCTTAGAGGGGTAGATGAAAACAAAGGAAAGAATGCTGTCTCAAAATCCAAAGATAAGAAAAGCTGGAGAATATTTAAAGAAATAGAGGGTTGACAGTGGTTTCAAATGGGAAGTCTCACTTCTTCAAGACTGAGAAGAAACAGTGGATTTAGCAATGAGGAGGTCACAGGTGAACTCAGCAAGAGCAGTGCCAGGGGAGGGATGGAGGCAGAAACCAGATCCATTCACAGATTTATTCTCCAGATGGGCAACATCTACCACATGCCAGGCTTTGTGCTTTGTGTTAGAGATACAGAGACGAGCAGGACATACATGAGTCCAACCCCCACCAGATGGTGGGGGAAGACACACAATGAAGAGAAATTACAAAAATAATCATGGAGTCACAATTGAAGTAAGTACTCTGATGAAGACACAAAGGGACATACAGAATGCTTGCTATAGAGACCGATAGGGAGCATACAGCATAGAGAGAAGATGAGGGAAGGGAAGGCACATTTAAGGTGGAGCCTCCAAGATGAACAGGAGTGAGCCAGGGGAGAGGATGGAGAGCAGCTAGGGAGAAGGGACGGCAGACGCAAACTCTCTCAGGGAGAAAGAGCTTTTGTGTGTCCAGGAAATGGATGGAAATCAAGGTGAAGAGCACAACTTTAACACGGCAAGGAGTGGCCAGCAATGAGGCTGTGGGCCAGGTTAGGGATCTGGGACTTCATCCAAGCAGTGGTAGGAAATCACTGACATTAAGCCTACAAGTTTAGGAGAGTCACCATCTGATTGGTATTTTTTAAAAAGATGACTCTGGCTACTTGTGGGGGAATGAAATGGGGAAGGGAGAGGAGGGACAGAGAGTGGATATATTGAAAGCAGCTGGGGAAACGTTATGGTCCAGATGAGAGGTAGCGGTGTCTTGCACCAGGGTGGCAGATGAGTAGGTTTGGATGAACAGATCCTAGAGCTACTTAGTAGGTGGGATCGGGACTGAGCGATTGGGTGTGGTAAATGGGGAGGAGAGGCTGAGGCCAGCTTGGGCTCTAGGGCCCCCTCTACATCCATTTTGGATACTCCCAGAGGACCACTGGGATGGAGTAACATGTACCCCTGAATTCCAAGCAAATGTAAGACCAAGCTAGGACTCAGCAGCAACTGGGAGACAAGTCCTACCAAGCCCTCCTCTCCTCAGGGTGCCCCTAATTCCTTAGAGATAAAATGATCTCTCAGATAGGAGGCCTCTTCAAGACCCCCTTGTTTGGTCATACTACTTCCGGAGTCGAGTCCTCTAGGGGTGGGGCTCAGAGCAGAACAAACCTCCATCACTCAGTCCCCGGGCTGGGCAAGCCACGCTGACTGGCTTCTCGCTAAGGCACACATGTACTGTTCAGGGCATTCATAAAATACATTCAGTATACTATGGACAATTCTAGGTCTCAAAGGCCAACCTCCATTGGATTACTTTTTCCACTCATAATTTTGTCAATTTTATTTTATTTTTTTATTATGTTCAGTTAGCCAGCATATAGTACATCATAAGTTCTTGATGTAGTGTTCAACGACTCATTAGTTGGGTATAACACCCAGTGCTCATCACAACACGTGCCCTCCTTAATACCCATCACCCAGTTACCCCATCTCTCTACTCCTTCCCCTCTGTAACCCTCAGTTTGTTTCCCAGAGTCCAGAGCCTCTCAGAGGCTTGTCTCCCTCTCTGATTTCTCTCCATTCAGTCTTCCCTCCCTTCCCCTGTGGTCCTCTGCTCTATTCCTTATGTTCCACATGTCAATTTTAAATAAATATGCTAGACTTCTATTTCTAACATAATGGTAGGCTAAGTACTTTGACCCTCCCACTCAAAACAACCAAAAAATCTTGTACAAAAAATATATTTTTAAAAATGTTTCTAATAGCGCATTGATGAGCTGGCAAGAAAGGAAGGAGTTCAGTGGCCAGGGACTTCTTCAGATAATGGAATATCCAGGTTTCGATTATAATAATGACTTTAATGACATTAAAGAAATTAAAGACAAGCCTGCAAATATGTATGAGGAGCAACAACAACAAATCATGAGAAATAATAAAGATTTGAAAAAAATGGACCAAAGGGAATTTTTAGAAATAAAACTTAAACAACTGAAATTACAATTTGTGGACAGACTTAAGAGCACATTAGATACAGTCTGAGAAAGAAGTGGTGAGGTAGGAGCTAGGTCAAAATAAACTAACCAAGATGCAGCACAGAAAGACAAAGTCTCAGAAAAATAGGAAAGAGAGCTTAAGAGACATGAGAAATGGAACCTAGCAAGTGTCTATTTGAAAGGAAAGAGAGAGAGAAAGCATTTAAACAGATAATGGCTACAAATTTTCTAAAAGGGAGGAAAGATGGGGCGCCTGGCTGGCTCAGTTG